CCTCTCCGCCCAACTCTCCAGCCTGTCCAGGTCCCGCTGAATGGCAGCGCAGCCTTCTGGTGTATCAGCCACTCCTCCCATTTTTGTGTCATCAGCAAACTTGATGTTTAAGAAACAATTATTAAAAACCTGTCCCTGCTATGCGAGGTGACTGTATGGGGATTTGCCAAGCCAGGATGGACAGAATTCATTGACTAGTATGCAGAAAGCCTCAGCAAAGAAGAAACCTTTTTGATTACCTTTGAAACAGTGGCAATCTTGGCAGAGCTGCAGGGTGACAGGGGACAAACAGCATTGTTGGCTTTACGGGGAGGTGAGGGGGAGGATCTGGTGTGGGGAGGTGGGGGGTGAGTGGGGCGAGCCCTTGCTCCGTGTAAGGCACTAAAAACTTGCCTCAACATTGTTGGCCGGCAAGTTTTAACTACCGAATCCTGATCACCATGGGAGCTGAGCAGGAGAGTTTCATCACCAGAGCAGCCCACTGAATTCTACCCGACAGGAATGTGCATCCTGTTGTCTCAGAGTACGTGTCCTCTGCGCATGGGCCCGGGCCCAGGGTCGGGTGACAATGGCGGGGGCTCGGACCCTCTAGAATTTTCAAGCACCCTCTAGTGGCGGTGCTGGGCATGTGCCCCACCGGCGAGTGGGAGGCGTGGCTATGCAAAACAGTTATTGACTGTGCAAGCGGACAACCCTGTGAAAAGGGGAAAGCAGCAGAGCCCATGAGGAGCGTCCAGGAACACCTGCCTTCCCAGCTCTCTTTTCCTTCCTCACTTTTCCTCCCTTCCTCGGCTTTTCTCTCGCGTATTTGTTGTTGGCCAAAGAAAGTGACTGGGCTCTTGCCTCCGTTTTGAGTCTTAATTCTGTTCCCGAGAATGTGAAAGGAGCCTATAGTCACGATAAAACATTGGAGTTAATGAGAAGTTAAGCCCAGCCGCCCTCAACCTCCCAGAGTTATCTGAGGTCGGTTGGAAAGCAAGGGGGTTCAACCTCTGCCAAATTGTTCCACCCAACAGTGGATCGTGACATTTTTAAATTTGCATCATGGACAGAATTCTCAGAGAACAGAAAGCGCACAATAAATGTGTGAGCTCCTGAGGGTGAATAGGGGGAAATTGGAACATGAAGGTGTGGCCCCCTCAGGACAGTATAGCTCCTTTGTGTTAAGTATAAAGGCTGCTCAGAAGGCAGTGGATGCCCACAATGGTGTCTTTTTGCAGGTGGAAGGGGTAAATAAACTATATGATCTTCTGGAGTTGCACTGGTCTTGTCCCTCACCCCCAGGACAAGATTGTGCAAAAAAAATCGGTTTCAACCACAGAGTGTAGTAGACAGGATAAGGATGCTGCAGAAAGAAGCTAAGGTTAGACAGGGGAAAGGAAAAGCTGTAATTTGTGCAGTACTGGGAGCAAGTCTGGCAGCGGTGGTGGAAGATAAGAAACAGAGGCTTTGTCAAGCCGATGCCGTAATACACTCACTGCAGATGGTCATAAAGTCACTGCAGGAACAGTTGAAGGAAAATAAGAAATTGTTGGAGGAGGAGAGAAATCAAAATTCCATATTGAAGGAAGAGTTGAGGAATCTACTCTTGAGGGAAATGGATACACTGGTGGAGGTAGAGGTGAAGCTTTTGGAGAAGGGGATACAGCAAGTTTACCCTCAGGGAGACTTGCTGAAGGCAAGGGAGACCATAGAAAGCATCCCCCACATGTATCCACTGGTTAAAACAGAGTATTTGTATGAGGACAATAACTATGACCATGCTCAAGTTCTCACCAAAGAAGTCCCATTTACAGCAACTGAACTAGCAAAGTTGAGAAAAGACTTTGCAAGAACTCTGAAGGAATCGGAGACAGAGTATGTGTGGAGAGTGTCCCTGTCAGGGGAGGACAGAATTTTGTTGTCAGAGAAAGAAGCAGAAATATACTGGGGTCTGGGTGTGTTCCTAACTACAGGTAATAGCCAAGCCCCATGGTCATTAACCCAGAGGGCTGCATATTGGGCTGGGGGGCTGAACCCTTTGTAGGGGGGAGATCCCCTTGCTATAACAGATAAGGTGGATCAGTTAGTGGAAAGTGTGCAGAAAGTGGCCTGTCTCCAAATGATGGATGACCAGGAGCTCAAGTTTAACCAGAGTTCCCTGATGATGATGCCTTTGGACCCAGAGAGGATGACTCCCCTGATCTGGGGACTCCCCGATCCCCTGAAACCCATTGGGATCCAATTACAGGGGAAAATTCAAAATACTTCCAAAGGAGAAAGAACTACGGCCACTCCAGAAGGGATAATAACCCCTGACCATTGGTGGTTGGGAAGGAAAGTGTGGACATGGGGGGAGGTAGCACAGGAGTTAGTTAATTTTGGGAGAAGATACGGCCCTGTTGGTGGATCATTCCACAGAAATGAAACTAGGGTTCAGTCTGCAGAGCAAGTTAACAATCCGCAGCTGTCGATTGGGAAAGGCCAAGATTTGAAGCCACTCCACGGCAATTACCTGTGGAGAGAGAGACCCCTAAGTCGACAGAGGTTATGGCATCTAGGGCTTCAGAATGGCATCCCCCGAGATCTGATGGATGGACTCCTGGCCCAAAAACTGGAAAAGCTTGTACAGAAATGGTCAGGGAGGAAAGCAACTGCTGGACCGGTTCTCGATGCTCTACCCCTGATAGCCATTGAGGGGGGGCTAGAAAAGGTGGGTAACTGGAACCTCCATTCCCTGAAGGTTAAGGGGGGGAACGGAGGATGGATGTTTTTAAGACAACTCACCTTGAATGTAAGGGGAGATTTATTAATGACAGTTGCTGTAGGACCAAGGAAAAGACCGGTAATTTTTCTAATTGATACTGGGGCACAAATCACTGCATTGATGTGGACCGAAGCAGAACAGTGTGGGATCTCGATGCCATCTAGAAACCTAATTGTCTTAAATGCTCTGGGAAAAACAGTCGATGCCTATGACTTCAGTGACACTATGGTTACCAGGAGATGAGGCCACCATCAATACCATGGTGGGCATAGGACCTTTTCAGACGAACCTTTTGGGTATAGATGTGTTGGAGGGAAGGCAGTGCCGTGACACTCAGGGGAACTTGCGGTCTTTTGGCATCCCCCAGATCAGGCAATTAGCTGAAACATCTTGGGCGGAGGTGCACCTATTGCAAACAGCACCTGCTCTTCCCCCCCTCCAAGATTACCAACGTAAAACCCGACCCATTGCCATTAGGGGTCAGAGAAGGGATAGCCCCAGTAATTGAGGATCTCAAACAAGGGAATTTTAGTGTTTACCTGCTTCCTGTACAATTCGCCAGTGTGGCTGGTACACAAACCTAATGGAAAATGGTGACTGACCATTGACTATTGGCATTTGAATGCAAACTCTGGTCCCCTGACTGTGGCTGTACCCAACATAGCTGAATTAATTGCACCATTCAAGAACAGGCCCACCCTATCTTAGCAACCGTTGATGTGAAGAACATGTTTTTTATGGTTCCACTCCATGAGTGTGATAGAGATCAATTTGCTTTTAGCTGGGGAGGACAACAGTATACTTTTACCTGTTTGCTTCAGGGATATAAACACTCGCTGGATTGTTCCCTCATTTTAATTGTGCAGACGAAGCCCAAGCAGGGCAAGTCAATGTTCTGTTCTCATTTCGCAGGAGACCTCCGTGGGAGTGAGACAGAATGTGGGAAGACGAACATTTGATTTTAACGATTTGTAAGCTTAGGTTGGATTTGCAGAGCAAAATGTCAATTTTATTGTTTTGGTGTACTGTATGGGCCGCGACCACGGGAACAATCAGTTATCCCCTCAGAGACTCTGGGGATGAAGGGAATGATACAAAGAATTCTTTTGTGCAGTTGGCTGAACAAATAGCAAGTGTTTATAATATCAAAAAATGCTGGATATGTGGAGGACTATTTGGTCTATCAAGTTGGCCCTGGGTAGCTATACCTTTGCTACCGAAATGGTTGTTGAGTAGATACAGTGAAACAAAAGGGAATAAAATATGGGAAAGCTCACATGATTCACCATGGCACATAAAATTTCCGAAGAAAGGTAAATATTGTCTGGCTAGAACACAAAAGGATGGCCCCTTTGTGGGCAACAGCACATGTGAGTGGACATATCAGAATATAAGCATATCCGTTCAAGTCGGGGAAGAGCCACATGAAAAGGATGAACTCATATATACCTATGCCTGGGTGAATGATGAGGGATACATGAATGCATTTCCCAGATTTTGGTCTCTTACGCCTAACGCAAGTCGAGGTGACACTGTAGGCCATGATTGTATTTGGGACCAGGAAGCAGGAGCTTACAACTGTAAATACTGTAATAGAATAGATTGGCCCCGTTGGAAGACAACATGGAAAGAACTTTGTTCAGACATAACCTGTTGTGAGAACTCCACAAAGGAATCGCTATATTGTTGTGTTGAAAGTGACCCATTTGGTTTAGAACCCACCCCTTACTTCGATCCTTCACCCCGTACAGAACATTGGAGAGGACCCTTTGCTAATGGATCGGTGGCCCTTGAGGGACACTATTGGATATGTGGAAACCATGCATATAAAGCACTGCCAGCAAACTGGTCAGGGATTTGTTATGTTGGGGTGATCTGTCCCTTGTTTTTCTTACTCCCAGAAATGGGCAGAGACCATTTAGGTGTTCAAATACATGATGATTTGAGGTGGGAAAAACGATCCAAAATTACTGATACCTCCCTCACTGATGTGGGTAGCCAGTCCTGGAGTAAAGACGTGTGGACCCCCCAACGTATCATACAACATTATGGACCTGCAATGTGGAACCCCAATGAATGGGTTAGTGGTGCTCGAGAGCCCATTCACAACCTAAATTGCATTATCCAGCTCAAAGCCTTATTAAAAATTATCACCAATCAAACAGCTGAGGCCCTTGACCTATTGGCAGATCAGGCAACCCAAACGCAAACTGCAATTTATCAGCATCGCGTGGTTCTCGACTACCTACTAGCCGAAGAAGGCGGAGTCTGTGGGAAATTGAATGATTCCAATTGCTGTTTAAAAATTGATGACAATGGCAAGGTCGTTAAACAAATTACTGCTGGAATACGGAAATTAGACCATGTTCCCATACAAACCTGGGAAGGCTGCAATGTTGATATACTCTCCTGGCTTCCAGGAGGTCCTTGGATTAAACAAATCTTACTTTACCTACTGTGTGGCCTAGCTACAGTACTGTTTTTGCCATGTGTCATCCCATGTTTCATTCAGTTAATCCAACGTGTTGTTGCAAAAATGCAGTATGTGCCCACTGTGTCACCTGACGGAATTAAACAAATTAGAGCTGTAGGTCATCCTGTGTCATCCACAGTCCAAATTACATAAACTGTTTTGTCTCCCCAAGCTGGTTTGCTTTTTTTTTTTTTTTTTAATTGGAAACTGAATTGTTACTGATGTTAGGCATTGGCCTTCTTTAGAGTTGATACCATTACAGTGTTTCAGCCTTCATAGCTAAAATCTTTGTTACTGATCTAATCTTTCTGCCTTTGTTTCTATTCTTCCTCTCTTCACTGTCTCTATATTTGCCACCAATGTTGAGCCACGAGGTGGCGTAAGGGACTAGAAACTTGTCTCAACATTGGTGGCGGGTAAATTTTAACTACCAAAGCCTGATCACCAGTTTAATCACCAGGGCAGCCCATTGAGTTCCACCCGACAGGAATATGTGTCCTGCTGTCCCAGAGTAGTGTCCCCTGCGCATATGCCCAGGCCCAGGGGCAACTGACAATGCGGGGGGGGGCTCATGCCTCTGGAACTTTTGAGCACCCTCTAGTGATGGTGCTGGGCATGCGCCTCACTGCCAAGTGGGAGGCATGGGTGTGCAAAACAGTTACTGACTATGCAAGAGGACAACCCTATAACAAGGGGGAACCAGTGGAGACCATGAGGAGCGTTCTGCAACATCTCCCCTCTACCGGATTCGAAGCAACATTGGGCGCGTGGACTCCACCGGCCGCTCGAGCCGCCCAGACCGATGGATCACACGCACACGCGTGGTGGTAGCTACTGCAACACTCCCGCACTGCTTGTTTCTCTCTTTCTTTCCCCCCCTTCTCACTTTTCCTCCCTTCCTCAGCTTTTCTTTCGCGTATTTGTTGTTGGCCAAATAAAGTGACTGGGCACTTGACTCCGTTTTGAGCCTTAATTCTGTTCCTGAGAATGTGAAAGGAGCCTAGTCACGATAAAACATTGGAGTTAATGAGAAGTTAAGCCCAGCTGCCCCCAACCTCCCAGAATTCTCTGAGGTCGGTTGGAAAGCAAGGGGGTTTAACCTCTGCCAAATTGTTCAACCCAACAGTGGATGGTGACAGCTCCCAGTTATCTCATTTATTGATGACTGTGGTTCTTTTATAAAGGCTGTGGGGTATTTGCAAGCGGTGCCTCAGCTTTTCTTTCGCGTATTTGTTGTTGGCCAAATAAAGTGACTGGGCACTTGACTCCGTTTTGAGCCTTAATTCTGTTCCTGAGAATGTGAAAGGAGCCTAGTCACGATAAAACATTGGAGTTAATGAGAAGTTAAGCCCAGCTGCCCCCAACCTCCCAGAATTCTCTGAGGTTGGTTGGAAAGCAAGGGGATTTAACTCCTGCCAAATTGTTCAAGCCAACAGTGGATCGCGACACTCCTCTGGGCATGCAGGGAGCGTGGTGGGGAGAGTGTGTGTGGACTGAGGGAGGGTATTTCATAATGTTTGCTCATGTTAGGGGTGCCCAGCAGCAGCAATATGCTGGCTGCTGTCATCGTCGTGTGTCAGTGTATGTGGAGTTAATGGTTATGCTTGTGGCTGGTTTCTCTGGTTGTTAATGGTGTGGGGAATAGCAGCTTGGTTTGGAGAGCAGGGAGGGATCTCTGGGCCTTTCTGCCTGGGTGTCTAGGTGTCCTCTCTGCTCTTGAGGAAGCTCCCTTTCCCAGGAACTTCTTCAGCATCGCTCTCATCTTCCTGCAAAGCTCTTCTGTGACTGGCACCTGGATGGTATTATTCCCCCCATCATGCAGGAAAGCTTGACAGGGACAGACAGGTCATTTTATGTTTGGCTTACTTTGGTAAAGTCCTAGCGTAATGTCAGTCCTTGGTCAGGCCAGGTGACTGTCCCATCCAGCTACTTTGTCAGGACCTGCACAGTTGTCCCTCAAGGGTGCTTTTGTGCCTCAGCTCTGTGCAAAGTGATGCAAGTCTGGGTTTTTGGGGAGCACGAGTGACTTCAAGGGGAAAAGACTGTGGTGTGGCCAGAGAGGAGAGAGGTGAGCTGCTGGTGATTGTTTTTGAAGTATCTGATCCCCAAGAGGAAGAAGTTGCTCAATGTTGTGTGATGCTGCCTTGGTTTCATCTGGGATAGAGTTTTCTTCCTAGTAGCTGGCACAGTGCTGTGTTTTGGGTTTAGTATGAGAAGAATGTTGATAACTCACTGATGGTTTAGTTGTTGCTGAGCAGGGCTTACACCAGTCAAGGACTTTTCAGCTTCCCCTGCTCTGCCAGGGGCACAAGAAGCTGGGAGGAGGCACAGCCAGGACAGCTGACCCAAACTGGCCAAAGGGCTATGCCAGACCACAGAACGTCATGTTTGGGGGGGGGAGAGTGATTGCTGCTCAGGGACGGGACGGGCGTTGGTCTGCGGGTAGTGAGCAATTGCATTGTGCATCAGTTGTTTTATATATTCTATATATTCTATTACCATTATTATTATTATTGTTACTCTTTTCCTCTGCTGTTTTATTAAACTGTCTTTATCTCAACCCCCGGGTTTCACTTTTTTTTCCCCCTGATTCTCTCCCCCATCCCACTGAGGGGGCAGGGGGAATGGAGTGAGCAGCTGTGTGGTGTTCAGCTGCCTGCTGGGTTAAGCCACAACAGGCCCAGACCTCAGAGGTATTGGTACTGATCACGTAAAATACCAGTGTGATGGGAAGAAAAGCAAATGGCTCCACACAGTGCAGAAGCGGTAT